GGTTTCAGTTATTCTTATGTAGAGTTGTTTCACCTAAGTACCGAAAATGTGTCCAAAATATGTTGAGGCTATTTTTGTACATTCATATAATGAAAACCATCAAAGAGGTCATCCTGCAGATTTGACTCCTGAGATTTTGAGAAATGTTCCTACCATAATTAATCTTGTGCACAATCAATATGATAGCACCAAAAATCATATAAAGTAAATTCTTCCTTAGAATGCCTGAAATCGGTGGCAATGGCCTTCGAGTCAAATTCCTAAAGTTGATTTTAATCCTAGGATGGACTTTAGTGATGGAGGGGAAAAAAAAGATATTTTGTCATATAAAATTATAGACACTTTTCCTACCCAGGTCACACTACTCCCCCAAACTAAAAGTTTTTTTAACTTGAGGTGGCATGTTTACACCGTATCCTACTTCCAGGTGTCAATTGCAGTTGGAACAAAAAATAATTATGCGCTTAATGTCAACCTTAAAACCTAACTTACAAAAATAACAAGCAAAAGCGTTCTATTGGAATATTCTACATATATTCTATGTTCCACATAGAATAGTCTCAACCATAAAAGGAGTGCCTGGTGAGGCTGGTGAGGCTGAGTGTCAACAGAATGCTTCTCAAGTGGCCCCATAGATACATATTACCTTGAGGAATTTTCCACAATCCAAAATTTGGCCCAGGGCCTTGCAGACTCTGAAACCTGATCTATCAGCAAAGCTGGTAAAAATCTACCAGAGATAGATAGATTTATAGCTCAAAGAGCACAGGATACTAAAGATTGGTATCAAGATGCTAACATACTAATTTACAATAAGCACTAAAAGTCTCAGAAGGACTAGAACTCTCTGGTGGGTAAGTCAGCACATTCATTTTTAGTGAGGGAAAAAATCATAACCAGAAGGCTACCTGGGAACAGGAAGTGGAGCAAAGAAAATACACTAAATAAATCAACTGCAAGACTAGAATTCAGATTCTAGTTCTACTTTCTGTTTACCTTGATTTGTCACAGTAGAGATAAGTAGGTGACCTTATATACACACCAAGTAGCTGAAGGTCTACCTCCCCCAGGTGGCCTTGCCTGGGAGCTGTACATTGACCTGGGTGGCTGATCAATTCCTCTTCTGACTGTCATATTAACATCTCCTTCTGGAGACCCTCAGTTACCTACAGTAATGATTGCTCGCTCTGCTAATGCTCTTTAAAGTCATCATCAGATTCATTCTTTTTTCTTTCCTTTTCTCTTTCTTTCTTTCTTTTTTTTTTTTTTTTTGCGGTTATTCTTGATTTTCTGTTCACACCAATATCACCAAATCAATTTAGCCTCATCTTATGGCAAGGTTCTAACTAACCCACTTACTGCAAATCTGTCCCATTGTCTAATCCCAAAGATGACTACTATATTAATCTACCTTAAATTATGGTTTCCTACATGTTTTTTTTTTTTCCTATCTTCCCAACTTATTCCTACCAAAAACTCTTAGTGACTTCAACTGCTTTCAAAGTCAAGTCCAAATTGCATAGCTTGCCATTCAAATTCTTTCATATCTGGGTCCAAGTAATTATTTCTTTCTACTGCATGAACTTTCAGCTCTAGCCAAACTCTTTGTTTCACAATACACCACAAGCATCCCCAAATCCATGCTTTCACTCATTTCTGAGGTCAACTCAACATTTGTCTCCTCCGTAAAGATATCCCTGAAAGTCCACATCTGAAATTGATCCTTTCATTCTTTAATTTGTTTGCCATTTAGTAGGTCTAAAAGTGAGTATCATATGTGGATGTCTCATCTCCTCAATAAGGATATAAACTACTTAAGAATAATAACAATACATTTTGCGTTTTTTGTATCCTGTATCTTCAATATCTTGATATCAAAGATGTTCAAGAAACAGATGCTAAAAACTGGCCCCGTCTGCTTGAAGGTAAAACTGCCAAATCCTTTCAGAGCCTAAGATGGAATTTGGAAAGTATTGCCCTTAAAAAAAAGAACTGCCTCTTAATATCCTTGGGATATTTGTAGTTCATGGCTTTGGAGTAGTTCTATGCCTTGAGAGTGATTTCACCAAATGAACATCTTCCTCAACATCTATATTTGTCCTCTGTACTGTTTAATATTACATTGAAAACACCTCTCAATTCTATTGAATCCCACTGTTGTTCTCAAAGTATAGTGCTAGCTTTAAAAATAGACTTGACCTCTGATATACAGAGACATTTAACAGCAAGATACCAGAGATGGTTAAATAGAAAAGCATAACAAAGAATAGGTCCCTTTAATATGACGGTGGGGTTGATAAATCTTCAGAGGTTAAAAAAATAGGTTTGTAAAATTTATTGGAATCACAAAGGGATCAAGAAGGAAATGTTTTAAGCTATTTTAACTACCACATAGCTTTTCGGCATTCTGGTATATAATCATACCCAGGTCTCAGCTGGTTGGAAATTTCTTTTAAAAACTACATTTGTCTGCTACCGTGAACTGTAATTATATTAGTGCTGAGAAAACCAACAGCCTCTGTTATTTCAAACCAAAGTAGTTCTGCCCAGGGGGAGGACATCTAGAATGTCAACAAGGTCTTTGATTATGAAAGACATGAAAACATGTACATCATATTTTACTCCATGGAATTTGGCAACTGCTCACAGATATTTTGGGGAGCAATCTGGCTAATCCTTGAGAGTAGGAATGAGAAACCTAATTCAAAGTGAAATGAAGGTGATAATCTTTCCAAGGAAGAAGGAAATTGCTGGATTAAACAAAGATAACTGAACCTGAATAGTCAACCTGAAGATACAAACAAAATAAAATTAGTTTAATTATAGTAAAAAAAAAGAGGGTGGGGTGGAGAGAGAAAGACAAAAATTTATGATAAATGGAGGAAATAATTTCCTGGGCAAGGAAGAATTTTTTCTTAGCAGTAAGAGACTAAGAGTTTTTGTAAGTACTTGATTTAGTCTTCTAATACTAAAATAAATACTAATTGTGCTTGCGCTGAATAAAAATTACATTTTCTATTGTTAAATATATAGATTAATGTATGATATTGGAAAGTAGAGTTTCGTTAAAGAGGTCTAACATTAAAAACAACACAAAGCTTTTTATAACTTCATTCCCATTTTAGATTTCCAGGAAAAAATATTTTCTACTAGTGAGTATTGATTTCCTTCCTGACTCTGCGTTGAGACAAAATCCTAGAGGTCTAATATATCCTAAGATGAAATCAAAAGAGTTAATGGGAACACGGGAGCTATTTCCTGTATAAGCCCACTAAGATCATTTTAAAGGGAGATATCTTTCTCTTTGTCGTTATCTCTGTTTCTTTCTCTCTCTCTCTCTTTCTCTCTCTCTCTCATCATGCTGGAAATTGAACTCCAGCATTTTGCTTGTACTAGGCACATACTCTACCACTGAACTACAACTCCAAGCAGAACTGTCTTTTTATTTGTAAATATGAACAAAAAGGAGTTTTCAAAACATCCTCCAAAACCCTTGCCAATAACTTTAAAAAAAAAATTCTTCTTTTTAGCAAGTATTCCAGTGTTTTATGTAAGTTAATACTCATTGTGCGTATATAAGATTTCACTATGAAGTAATGACCTATAGGCTGCCAACAAGAGTAAATTTTATCACCTCAAAATCTTACCTGTTTTAAGTTTAATTTTCTGTGTTTGCTGTTTTCACACAGAAGTATCCCATTTGTCAATTGAACTTGTTATTTTCAGTTGGATGACATAGTAAACAAGTCTTATTTAAATATTTATGCCTGTTTTGAAGCAGAGTTATTAGGTAAAGGATTGAATTTTTCCTATTTCCTCTGGATTTCATGTTTCCTATTATAGTTTCCTATTGGCATTATGATTTTCCTCACTTTGAGTGAGTATATAAATTCCTCACTTTCCACAAAAGTAATCTTCTTCAGGAAAAAATACTCTATCTACTTCACACATCACAAAATATTTTCCACTCAAGTTTCCATATATTGATAGAGTAAGATAGATTTTAAGATGAATTATGGAACAAATTGACAAGTAGCGTTTAAGAAGTCAAACTTTCTACTCTAAGTGCTCCTTTCTTGAATTCTATATTTTCTAATTATGTGACACTAAATTTTGATAATGAAAATTTAAATTGCTCTAGAGGTATTTGGGCTATAAAATGTTCATGCATGCTTTGATTCATTTCAAATCAGAAATGAGTTGAAAGACTATAAGAAATTAAAATGTCATTTTTAAGCTCACCATCTGAATCATTTTTACTGAATAGAATATTGGTCCAATAGAATATAAATGGTTTTACGGCCTTTAAAGCATATGATTAATATTGCAGTTTTTCATTTCACCACACATTTCAATTTCTTCTAACAAACATGGATGCGCTTAGCTGCACCCATAGAAAATTTGCTAATTCATGTTCCTATCCTTTTATAATCAATTTTTCACAAACTGAGCAAAGCAATAACAATCCCTTTAGGAAAACACATGCCATAAATCTTCCTTTTTTGTGTTTTGCTTTAGAATTGAATTATAAAATTGTGTGAAATAAAATCTTGAAATCTCTTTTGAATAAAAATTCTTTTTACTACTAAATATTTGATTTAAATTATTATAATGCAGGTGCAGGTCAAAGCACACTTGAAATGCAATCAGTTACCTTTAAAACCATGACTTGGGAAGAAAAATGTTTAAAGTTTTTAAACACTTATTAATATATATATATATATATATATATATATATATATATATATATATGAATAACAGTGTATTTCCATCAACCAATTTTGCAAGGATACCTTGATTTTAACCCAAACATGCACACAGAAAAGTAATTTTCTTCTTCGTGATGCTATGAAATGAGTGACAAGAATTTTTCTTAACAGAAGTTTACAAAATATTTACTTTGAAGCTGTCCATAAAGAAAACATGTGATGTTTTCTTGGATTACAGATCAGATGATCATTAAATTCAACTTGAAACGGGAGAGCGAATCGCAAACGTACCTTGTCCTTGGGTTACTCCATAAAACTCAGCTGCTATCCTCGCCGCTTCCTTGCGGTTCCCTTTCACAATGTAGAAGTGACTGAGGATGGCAAGGCTGATTTTCACAAAAAGTTTAAAACAGAAAAGTGAAAGTATTGTAAAGTAGACATTGGATAACTGTTGAGCAAACGGTCGACTTTCTTCTAACACCGACATTGCTGCAGAAGAATCCGCAGCGGTCTTTAGTTAGATCCAAGTCTCAACTGTGCCTGGCTCTAGTCCGGGATGCTCCTGAACAGCTGGTCCTAAGGGAAGAAAATATCAGCTGGTAATGATGCCCACGGCTCAAAATATTTATACTGTCCATAAAAGTTCTTCGTAATCTCCCATTGGTCTGACAATATTCCATGGAAGCAGCTGCATCACGTTTCACAAGACTCCTGACTTTCCGTTCTCAAGATAAAATGATACTGCCACCTCTCTGCCCTGAATTTCAAGACCTAGATATTGAAATATAATCATGCCTATTGTTTCCTTTTTTGCTATCTAGTCATCACGAACAATTCAAAGGTGTGTATTTGGGGTCCCCGTGGTTCATGTAGATAGTATCACAATATTGAAAAGTCCTTTGATTCAAAGCTTTAAAATGGTACTATTTATGGACCATGAGCTAAATCAGCAAATAGGCCATAACTTGGATCTTAATGCCTGCTCATCCAGTTAGTCAATTGTAATGTTTTTCATTGTTGGTAGGAAAACGTATTTTTCTTACAAGTAGTTAACCTGGATCCTAGATTAAGAATTTGACACTGTACCTTTATTCAGTGAATGCTTTTAAAGTATCTTCTACAAACAAGCATTTTTATACATGTTTGGGGGAGACAACGATGAATATAATAGTCCCTGCTTCCAGGATCTCATAGTTTGTAGGAAAAAACAGACAAGAAATCAGAAAAATACAACATAGGTAAGGACAAGGTATTCTGTAAGCAAAAAGAGGAAGACCCTAATCCTGATTAAAAAAAAAAAAAAGTAAAAAAAGGCTTCCTGGGGGAAGTAGAACACACAGAGGAATTATTGTGTGAATGGGTATCTCATCAAGAATGGCTAAAACCACAAAACAATATACTTTTTAGGCCTACAAACTTTGATAACCCCAATGGATTTATTCATGAAAGAAATGTAATTGTATGCACAGGTATTGTTAAGTGAACTAGACTTGAAAAAAACAGAGTAAAATTATTATAAAAAATAATGTAGAGTGGCAGTATTTTGGCATTTAAGTAAAAACAATATCAAAGTATAAAATATATTATAGAGGGATTTTACTTATTTATTTATATGAGCAGGTTTGGAGCCTGTTCCTTGTTGTATTCCCAAATTCTGAGAATTTTCAAAGTAACAAGTAACCAAGTTACAAGAAAACAGCAGTGGCTCTTCTTGAGAAAAGGAGTACATCTATGATGGGCGCAAATGAGATGAGCTATGTCCTTATCTGCCTTGGTATATACTTGTTATCCTGTGTGACTTCTCTAATTAGGTTGACTTACATGAAATATTCCTATGACAAGGGACAGATAGCTGTTAATGAATTTGTCAAAAGAGGTAGGCTGCTTCTTTCCCCAATGAATGAATGGCTCCCTGTAAAATAAATCAGACTAACACTGTAGAAGAAAATCATCAAACTCTTCATGAAAATGGCCCTTGGTATTGTTTTCAATACTAGCTGAATGGTCCAGGATGCCATTTCATATGCACTTTGGAAATCAGTGAAAACTGTCTTCAAAGTATTGGAGATAAATGAACTGCATGTTCCTCTCTCTCACCAGTGTTGACACTGTGTCGGGTAGATGAGTACAGATGACTACACTGCAGTGAGTGTTCCCTCTGGCACAGTGATGCCTGACCACACACTGGAGAGGCATTCCTGTGGACAGCTGGGTCGTCACAATGCTCTGAGTCACCGTGTGACTTCCACTCCAGTGCTTTAGAATCAGAAATAAACCCGCCTTAGTCACACATCTAAGTGCCTGGCTAAGGTTTCACTCCTTTCTCTACCAGTAAGTGCTATTATAAATAATTATCTCCACATCAGCTCATCAGGAGCCTGGATTCTTTGGGGCTAAGAAACACTTCTATTTCACTAAAGCTGCTGTCATTGGTGCATTAAGTATAAATCTTTGCCAGAAAAAAATACTACTGTACGATCTTCAGGATTTCACATCAAGATGTTGGCTTTTGCCAGGCACGATGGTACACACCTGTAATCCCATCGGGTCTGGAAGCTGAGAGAGGAGGATCACAAGTTCAAAGCCAGCCTCAGCAAAAGCAAAGCACTAAGCAACTCAGTGAGACTCTGTCTCTAAATAAATACAAAATAGGGCTGGGGATGTGGCTCAGTGGTCAAGTACTCCTGAGTTCAATCCACAGCACCCAAAAAAAAAAAAAAAGTTAGCTTTTATTTTCATGAATTCCTTGACTCCCACTTCAATTTTTCTGTGGTGGCACTCTTCTTCAGCTAATTGTACCATCAATAAGCCTGTTAATTAAATTTAAGGCCAAATCAAATAAGTCATGGTAAATGAACTCAATCAAATACAAATCAGATGCTATGTTTTTGTATTTAGGAAACTTCCAAATAAATAATATATTCAATAACTCTGTTAATACTTACAAAACACACAAAAATTATTGTACATCTATTTTCCTGACATAAGCATTTTTTTTTCTTTCTTTGTACCAGGGATTGAACCCAGAGGCACTTAACCATGACTGAACCACATCCCCAGCTCTTTTTTAAAAATTTCTTTTTTACTTATAGATGGACACACTATCTTTATTTTTATTTATTTATTTTTATGTGGTGCTGAGAATTTAACCCAGTGCCTCATGCATGAGAGGCAAGCACGCTACCACTCAGCTACAACCCCAGTCCTTTTTATTTTCAATGAATGTTTTTTACCTTTATTTATATGCGGTGCTGAGAATCGAACACAGTGTGTCACACATGCCAGGCAAGTGCATTACCTCTGAGCCACAGCCTACCCAGGTCTTTTGATATTTTCTGTTGAGACAGAACTTCCCTGAATTGCTCAGACTGGCTGTGAACTTGTGGACCTCCTGCCTCCTGAGCCACTGATATTACAGGTGTATGCCACCCCCTGGCCTGAATTAGTATTCTCTTTAAAAATAAAATAATTATTAGTAATTTAAGTAATTATAAATGCTCTTATAATTTACCATTTTGAGAGAATATTGTAGAGGGATTTTAGTGATAAATGTCATACATCCCAACTTTCCTAATAGTTCAGTTTTATTCAATGAAACCTAAATGTAGAAATTGAGCACAATATTGTGCTTACTAGAATGAATGGCCTGGGGGAAATTTAAAATATAGGAAGAAATAATTTCTTGAGGGTCATTGTATGATATATACACACATACATACATATATATACAAATATGTGTGTATGTATGTATATGTGTACACACATTTCTATTTGATTACATCTTAGGAGGGCCTTGCTGTTATTTATGTTTTAAAAATGGAAAAGTTGAGCCTATAGAACTTTAGTGACTCACAAACATTGATTATGGGCCACAATACTATTTGAACACGGTTGTATCTCTAAATCAGATGCTCAAGTTGCATTTAACGTTTTCTCTATTTAAGCACTTACAATTTGATTGAGCAAGTACAATTCAAACCTATAGAGATTGAGACAGTCACACAGATTCTCACACAAGTGCGTGCATGCACACACAGTAAATCAATATTATGCACCTAAATTAGTGAGGCAGGCTATATACATGCTATGATGATTAAGAGAGACAGAACTTTGTATGTATTCAACAAAGGAGAATGTTTCATAACGTGACTAATATTTTTGGACCATTCAAAGCTAAGAGTTGGTGTGTGTCCCCCATTAAAATAACAGAGAGAAAACCAAAAGGGCTGTACATTAAACATACAGCGTCTGAAGTAGGGTCAAATGACAAAGCAAGAGCTCAGAGGATAAGAATAAAGAAAAGAATATCATGTCTGGCCAGGAGTTCAGGGATGACATTTAACTCAGTATTCTGACAGATAATGGAGTAGGAATCAGGACATCATTGTCGAGAGGGTAAGCCTTTAAAGCAATTTCCAAAAAGGAAAAAAAAAAAGGCTCCTTGGCTTCCTCCTGGTCTGCCCTTTCTATGCACTGTTTTTGTTTCTTACAGGTGTCAGAGAAATCACTATTAGGTCTCCTGTCACTCTTCTCCTGTAACATCCTAGGGTATTACAAAAATTGGCCATTTATATATTTGAGAGACTTAGTTTCATGTCCCTCACAAGTTGAATAGAATAACATCTTTCAAATGTGGCTAGATTATCCTGTAAATTCTCATTTTTTAAAAAAAAAAACATTTTATCACCTGAGATTGTAGGGCTTCTTTGACTTAACTACAGTATTGATCCAAGTTATTATATTGAAAACGTTAATGTAAAATAATACATAACAATTATAATTTTAATAATAGTAATTGCCTGTTACTATTGCTTTATGATCTATAAGTCATAGTATAAGCAAAATGTGTGACTCCACTGAGATGATTACTTAAAAAACGTAAGAAATGTGATCATTTATTCTCTGGTAGAAATGCAAAGTCTCTGATTTAATTTTTAAACCTTAATTTCTACTCCTGCCAAAAAACACAGGGACACATTTCAAACAGCAAGGTTGATAATGTTCAGTACCAATGCAAGGATTGCCCCAGGTCCAGAACAGGGCTGCTGAGAATGACTTATTCATAGTGAATACAAACTGAGAAAAGTCATTTTCCCATAAATGTGAAGGTCAATCAGCTAAGTTATTACTGGCAACCAAATAGGTCACAATTGGTCTTAAATCATCATTGGGGAAAACAAAACAAAACAAAACAAAACAAACAACACTTCTTTTGGTTGTTTTGTGAAATCTCTGAGAGAAAACAAAAGCAAATGAGACCCTTAGATGTTTAGAATACACTGGAGCCTTAGATGTTTAGGATGCATGGGAGTTTGAAATAAAAGCACAAGTGTTTACACGTCAAGTGGAGTTTCTTCAAGGATATTAATAACTGGCTTTTAGTCTTATCTACATTGGGTATATTGTGTTTATCTTAACTTATCCAAAAGCTGTGCTCATGGAAATACCTTGCTTCAGAAAGATAAACCAAAGCAGATTATCATAATTCCTGGTACAGATTTAGACATGACATCATGCTTCTGACATAAACAATATGTGCAGCAGAAGTATAGACACCAAAGCCTTAGGTTTCTATTGGTTATCCTTAATTATTCATGAAGG